CCACATTGAGGACATTAAGCAGCTGCCTGAGAGTGTCTGTGCACAGAGGGGACCCAATCAATCCTAATCCTTAAAGGAGTGGCTTCCACACTTTGTCCTTTGTGCAGGAACAGGGGACTTGGGAGCGGGGGATAGACTGCAAGAAGGAACTCTTTGGAAGCAAAGCAAGGAGATGCTGGTGTCTCCCTTGTGTGCCCCCTCACAGTGGTGGGTGTATCCTTCATGTGGCTCTCGTGGTCACCACCTGACGACGGATGGCCATCTGAGCCACAGGGCTGGTCCTGAGCTGATGGCTATGCTTCAAATTCTGTGGCAGGGGCCTCAGGAGGGTGGGGTCTTGCTGTGAGCAGCCAGAACTGGAGCCTCACGTCCTCCCATCTGCAGCAGTGCAGGGAGGCACAGAGGCAGAGCAGGTGACCCGCCAGGGCCCCAGCGTCCTCCCCACAGTGTCCACTCTGGCCTTTACCACCATCAGTAGCTCAGGTATGGGGACTTGGGCATCGCACCCCATTGCCCCTCCTCCTTCTCACCCCTCCCCTGAGTCCCAGAACAAGCAGCCCTGCATCTGGCACTCAGCCTCCGTAACACGTGAGAGAACCCCCAGGACCGGTTCTACCATGGGATGCTCCTGGGTGTTCCTCACAGATGGTCCAGAAGTAGGGGCCCTCTGTTTGTGCTGTTTAGTCACAGTGACTTGCTTCAGGAAGATATAATAAAAAAGGAGGAGGACAGATTAATTTGCCACTCATGCTGTGGACTCACACGTGGCCAAAGGTGGGCTGTGCCCGGAGTAAAGACCCACGGTGGGTTTGCACTTTGAAGGTGGAGAAAGGTCATGGAGAAGCACAGGCAGCCCTTTGGTGGCCAGTGGCTGTGAAAATGCACCGCTGTCCCACACTAACTGGAAGTGGCCTGTGCCCTGGGATTGCAACTCAAGAGGAGAAAAAGGCAGCAGGTGATGGAGGAATCTGCTGTGAGCTTGGCGCCCACAAATGGAAACTGATGTCATGTCCTAGTCCTAGGTCACTACGTGGGCCCTCCTTCAACGGTAGCTGGGGTGTTTCCCTGAAAGAGTTACTTCTGCCCAAGTTCCTGTCAGCATTCTGATGGGAAGTGGGAGCCGCAGACGTCCGCCTTTCTAGGTAAATAAAAATCCATCCTGGGGAAAGCGAATTCTCATTAAGAAGTAAGTCAACACAGGTGTTCCTTAATTGCTGCAAGGCAGGTGACGGTTTGTTTTCTTTCCCCTTCACAATCGCCTCTTTTGATTCACCTCAGCTCACATCTGGGCCGATGACCCCGTGTGGATGGGGAGGAAGTATCACCTGGCACTTGTTAGGTATTAAATTTCCTTATCAATAACGGCCTGCCACGCCCACTCACCCCGGCACCTGGGCAGCAGTGAGGCCCGTGAGGCAGAGCCACTGCTGGAGCTGTGAAGGAGATGCCCAGCCTCGAGGGGGCAAACACCCACCTCCAAGCCACCTGATTTCAGGGTTCAGAGGTGCCATGAGACCTGATCCTGTCGGCAGAGGCCTGGACCCTCCTCACTGGGGCTCACCCCTCAGGTCAGCCTCAGTCTTCGATGCCATGAGGCCAGTCCGTGGGGAAGGGGACAGTGGGCACTAGAGATGGAATGTGAACCAGCTGGGCTGAGTGGGGGTCAAATCTGCACGTGGCTCAACGGCAGAGGCTCCGAAGTGGGGCTGATGGGGGGCTGAAGCACAGGCCCTGGGGAGGTACAGCTCGAGGCTCCGAAACAGTGAGCTCATTCCAAGCCTGTGTCTGGCCACACACCTGGCCACATCCCACGAGGAGGTGCCTGTGGGCTCCACTTCTGATGGCTATGTGGGGGTGAGCATGTATACAGAGGGCATGAGTGTGGGGAGGGGTGGGTGTGTGCGCCTGGGTGAGCAGGCAGGCATGCACACGTGTGCACGTGTGTGGGTATGGGTGCACACACATTCATGAATATCCATATGGCTATTTATGGATATGTGCATCGTGACCCTGTGCGTGCATGTGTGGGTGAGCGTTGCATGTTTATGAGTGTGCACAGGTGCGTACATGGGTGCACACACGTGGCTGCATGTCTGTGTGGGCGTCCATGGATGTGTGCATGTGTGTAATGTGCAGGTCAGTGGATTGTACAGGGCATCTGTAACTATACACACATGGGCTTACATGTGTGCACATGTGGACATGGAAGTGTGAGTGTGCACATATATGCACAGGTGCACGTGTTTGTGCCGATGCACCCCAGGTGCTGTGCCTGGCCTGCTGCCCACTGGCTCTGGAGCCTCCCAGCTTCTGCTCTGCAGCGCATGTCCTTCAGCTCTGACCAGGTTTCCTCCTGAGACACTGAAGTCTAGATGAAAACTCTGGTTCTCACAGCATCCTGTCTTCACTCATTCTTCCTGAGCCAGAACCCCCTGCCGGGGCAGCCTAGGAAACTCTGGCCTTTTCAGAATCAGGAAAGGAACATGTATACAGCTCGTCCCGCACCGGGAAGTAGGTTCAGAGTGGCTGGGCACGGGCCAAGCTGGTGCTGGATCTGAGGGAGGGACTCTCCAGGTCAGTTTCCCCTGGAAGGAGTGCAGGGTCCTGGGCTAGCCTGTTCCTGAGGCCCTAGCGCCATCTAGTGATGCATGTCCTGCTGCTGCAAGCCCTGAGCTTCTGGGGGAGGGGCCCAGCCCTCAGCCCCTGGCCAGGCAGCCTGACACCTGTGAGGGCTGCACTTTGTTTCCCAGGACATGAGCAAGTCCTGACCCCTGGTACCTTTGAATGCAAGCACATTTGGAAATGGGGTCTCTGAGTCATCATAGGATGCGACTGTGCTGAGGCAAGCTGACCCTTCTCCAACAGTTGCGCCTGTAGGAGAAGAGACACAGTCAGAGACCAGGGAGGAGGATGGTCAGTGGGAAGGCAGGGCAAAGCCTGGAGCAGTGCAGCACTGACCTGGTGGTCCTGGAGCCCTCACAGAAGCCGTAAGAGGTGGGAAGGCCCTTCCCTGGAGCCTGAGGGGCAGTAAGGGTAGCCCACACCCCAAGACTTCCGGCCCCAGGACAGGGAGACAGTGGGCTTCTGTGGCCGAGTCCCCATCTGGGGGTGCAAGAACACACTGCTTTCTTAGGAGACCTGACTTCGGGGTGGGAGAAGGGATGAGGTGTGACACACAAATGCCAGCCTTCACCCAGGAGGCCACGCTGAGGGTCAGGCTCTCTCTGCTGAGCAGCAAAAAGAGGATGCAGCCAAGGGCAGGTCCCTCTGGGACTATGCAGAGACCTGGTCTGTCTCAGAAGGTGAAGCACAGCTGCTGGGCAGTGGTGCCAAGGGGCCTCCAGGGAAGGCTGCTCGTCTCCAGCAGCAGATCAGTGGCTCCATGTACTGAGCTGGGGAGGAGGTGCTGCAATGACGGGGGACAGCCCAGGAAAGACCGTTCCTCCACACCCTGGGAAAGGTCAGTCTCCTTGTGAGAGCTTTGTAGTCCAGAAAGAGTGTGGTGGGGAAAGACCACACAGCTCTGTTCACAGTCAGTCTTTTTAAAAGCAAATACGTTTTTTAAGCCAAAACAGCCCAGTGCAGAGCTTGGACTTTACGTCCAATGGAAAAGTCCTTCTCAAGATAAGTAGCATTTAAACCACATTTTAAAAATCCAAACTAATGCGCTATCCATGGTGAACAAAATACCCAAAGTTTAAACAAAGATGGGACTGGATTTATTGAACTTTCCTTCCAGTGTTGAGAGCATCTAGGAAACAGCTCAGAAAGTCACACTTGCCCTAGGACACAGCCCCTGGTGGAGCTCTGGCTGGGAGATGCAGCCCAGAAGGCAGCCATACCTGTCCATCCCTAATGACCTTCCAGAAATCCACCTCTGCAACTGAAGAACATAGCATCACTAGGTGTCAGAGGAGCATCCTTCCCTGAGACCTCTAGAATCAGTGGCACCAGGAGATCATTGGAGGCCATGGGGCCAGGAGGAAGAGCCATTCAACATGGCTTGAATTTATGTTCAGTTTTGGAAGGGAGCTGATTTTCCTGCCTCGCCCTACCAACAGTGAATGCATTCAAATTATCAGTCAGTCTCGGCAAAGACACAAAGCTTTTCCTCAGAAGACCCCTCTCTCCCTGCAGCATACACTTGCTCCAGAGGTTCTGGGCCTGGCATCACGATGGTCACTTCAGTATGGCCTCTGCCTCTTTGTTTACAAACAGCAGAAAGGAGGTTCAGCAGCCTTTCATTATTGGATCAGAGGACTTGTGACAAGCCAGCTGTGCACAGCAGTATCTCGTGTGCGTGTCATTGCTCTAAGTCAGTCAGCAGCCCAGGTCCTGGGGGCCACGCCTGCCAGCCCTCAGGAGCACAAGAGGGGACAGAGCCCAAGGCTTGCTTCCCAGCCCCACCTGGCCGCTCGACATTCATAAGTACAGTTCCCAGGGCGCTTCGGGTAAGTGCCTCTGGGGCTCCTGTGTCCAGCAGCTCTAGCCCTGTGCCCCGTTGTGCTTTGCTCTATGGTGTCCTGTCACATCCGGGTCTGTCTCAGCTGAGCAGGAGACAACCAGCTCCCTTAGGAGGCACAACCGTCCCAGCTTACTGAAGAAGGGCAGATTTGAAGTTGGATATTGCAGAGCTTTCCCAGGAGCTAAAGACCTTTGAGCATTTCCAACAGCCCCAGAGCGCCTTTCCTGCTTCCCAGACCTATGTCTGTCTGGGTACAGGCAGCCCAGCTGAGAATCATCCACCATGAACAAGTGTGTCCCCTGGTGGCCGGCAGTGGCCTTGCACAAACTGGATGCTGCCGTTTGAAGGCTCTGAGCTGGCGAATCAGTGACTGATTTGGGTCTCCTGCCTTCAAGAGGGCATTGTCCATATCAGTTAGGGGAGCCATTGACCCCCTCTCCACAAGGCACCCCAACACAAAACCTCCAAGCCCACTGTGCTGCCGCCTCAAAAGAGCAGCATTCTGCACTGTAGCCAAAGCGACTCCGAGCACGAGATGGCGCTCACACCTAGGCTCGTGGTTCAGTTACTCTGCACTAAATATCTGTTGACCACAAAAGCACCTGAACTGCAGTTGCAAGCAGCACATGATGCCAAGTGTGTGCCCTTGGACTCGTGTGCAAAGCACACCGTCGGCTCCCACCTGGAAGGCGAGTGTGCAGGGGGCTCCCCACAAAGTATGCTGTGTGACACGCCAAGGAGAGTGACAGCACGCTAGCCAAGGAGACCACACTGCAGGCTGGAGGAGGCTGCTTGGCTTTCAGAGGCCAGGCCTCCCACTCCCACTAAGCTAAAGGAAGATGGAAGCATATTCCTGCCTTTTAAGAAAAACTGTGTCAGTGACATGTTGATGGGTGCATGCTGCATATTTGGGCTGAGTCCAAGCATGAGGAAACCTCTGAAAGCCAACAGCAGGTGGTGCACTGGGACTCAGATGCACTCCCTTCCTTCCCAGAGGAGGCTCTGAGCCCCTCCGGCCAGTGTGCTGAGCTCGGGACACCATGCAGGAAAGGGCCCAAGAATCCTAAAGATGGGTCCCTGTGGGTCCCTGATCTCGTTACTGGCCAGGTGGGACAGGGAGAATGAGCAGGTGCAAACTGATGTCCAGGCCTGGAGCACACTAGGGCGGGGGGTGCGCCATGCAGTCCGGTGGTTTGGTGCCCATCTGGTGACATGTGCTTTGAACACACATCCAGGATCCTAAGAACAAACTACACTCAGGTGGGAGCCTCCTTCCTCTGCCTTGACAGTGAGACCAAGGGCCAGAGCTGGGAGACATTTACACTCCATCCCTGTGAGGTTCCCCAAAGTGCCCTGTCTGTTTTCCCCAACAGTGATGCCAGGATAGGCCAGAAATGACTGGGTCGGGGGTAATTTGGGGCTTCTGGGACAGGGACTCCTGCTTCTCCCAGCAGACTCTGACTTTAGGAGTCTCCACAGAGCCTAGGTGTTCTAGAACGCCAGGTGAGCTGTGTTCTCCCTGCAGAACTTCTCCCTCCTTACACCTGGCTGACTGTTACCTGTAGCTGGGTTGAGAAACCACAGCAGGATAACCCTTCTGGGGGCTCAAGAGTGCCTGTCCCCAGCAAGGGGTCCTGTTAGAGAAGGGAGTGGTGCTTCTGGCCTCAGGCTTGAGAGACCTAGAATAGCTCCTGCCTCCCATTTTTCCATACAGCTTTTTGCTGTGGAAGGAATTAGGATGCCACTGTTCCCCCTAGGCAGTATGTCACTGCACACTTCTCCTGGGTCTGACAATCATGCCTTTCAGCTGCAAGCCATCTGTCATTCAGCCCACACTTTTCTCATTTGCCAGAACCTTGCAAAAAAACCAACTGCAGCTGCAGGATACTAGGAGAATCACAGGGAGCCAGCAAGTGTGCAAATCACTCTGAAGAAGAAAAATGAAAAATACTGCTTTGAGTGGCAGTAAAATTTGACTGTAAGTAAGGCTTAGAGGGAGCTGTTTCCATGTAGCGGCTCCTCTAAGAATAAGGCTTTCCTCCACCCAGGGTCAATCAGTCTCACCTCCCTTGAACTAGCAATATGAGAGCTGTTTCCCATTGCTCAGGCCCGCAGTCACATTCATCATCCCTGCTGATGGCTTGCTGCTTGTGGCTGCAAAACGTGAAGCTGAAAGACATCAGGGTCCATTGTTGAGGTGAGCAAAGCAAAGCAGCAAGATCATTCATCACACACAGGAAAGGATTGGGGGCCAACAACAAAATCACCTACCCACTCGGTTCTGCTTCGCACGTGGAAGTGCATCTGAGCAGGGCTCACCAGCTGGTCATCAGGAGCTGGGAAACTCAGGGTTCCCCCACTGCAGCAGCACCCCAGGAAACACAGGGGAGCATTGGGAAGCTTTGACAAATGAGTCGGAGCAGCCCAGGCTTTCACATTTTTAAAGTTCCAGGTGATTTTCAAGCACAGCTAGGACTGGAAACCAAAGACAGCACAAGGAGCAGAGCCCAGCTCTGTCCCAAGCAGAGTCCAGAGTTCCCAGGCACCCTGTGCTAGAGACTCCAGGACAGGTGTGACCTGACTCCTGCTCTCCGTGCTGTGTCACTCGGGACTAGGTCCCTCTCCATACAGCCTCCTCGAGGGCCGGTCCCTCATCTGAGTGTGCCAAGATGGCCCTTCCTGGGACTCCTTCATTCACCAGGAATCTGGAACAATGCTTTATTCTTCAAATAACATTCACAGAGCAGTGGTTTCACACATTTCAAATGCTGGAATAGATTGACTTGTCTTTTCCCCTCAAATCAGGAGATACATGTGCATTTTGCAACAAATAAAAATATGGAAAGAATAAATGGGAAAGTCATTCAAAGTCCTATGACTCCCAGATAAGCCAATTTGATATGAAGTATGATCAAAAACTATGGTAAATATTTAAAGGTTTTAAGTGACACATCACCATTAACCTCCCCCCTCAAAATGCTTTCCTTCACGTCAAGCACTCAGCCCATAGATCTGGCCACTTTCTGAAGCAGTTTACAGTTTACATTTGCAGTAATTTTTGTCAAATGAAAACATGTGGTGTGTCTTCATCGACTGGATCCAGCACTGCGTGACTTCTGGCTCTTCCCCAAAGTTAAAGAGACCGTGAAAGGTAAACATTTTGAATTAATTTGGGACATTAGAGCAGCCACTCTAGGGAAGCTAAAGATAAGGAAGAGGACTTCTGGAATGACCTCAAAAAGTGGGAAGCGTGACAGAGTGTGTTCAAAGTGAGGGGGACTATTCCGAAGGAGATCAATATCAATATGTCTTTTGCTGTAATAAATTTTTAAAATTTATATATTCACTGTTTTTCATATTCATATTCATATTTTACATATTTGTACTCGTGTTTTACATATTCACTGTACTCACTGATCGTATCTTATATATCTTCATTACCCAACAATAATCATTTTAACGTGCCCTTACAATACTTTTATTTTATATTTTTGTACCCAAAATAAAATGCTTTCTGGTGGCCATCTCTAGTCCCATTATAGTAAGTCCTACCATCAAAAGAATTGCCTCCCTAGCAGTGCTCAAAAACTGCAGAAAATAATAGGAATCTGTACAACCTCCTCCCTCTGCCTGCTTAAGTGCTTTGTAAGGACTGAAGGAAGTGACTGAAGGGAGGAGTGAAGGCCTAAAGGGGAGGGGGCCCTAGGCTGTGCTGACAAGGTGACCCAGTATTCAGGGTCTGCAGGGTCTGCTGTGGAATAGCAGTTCCCACAGGTCCCTGCAGACACTGGAACACCAGGGTGCAAGGAGGCAAGCGCTCTCCCTGCTCAGAAAGGGCCCAAGAGAGACCAGGGCTCCTCTTGCTTTCTTCCCAAGCCTGTGATTTGTATGGACGGTAGAAATGGTAGGAGATCACCGTGTCATACGTGGAATCCCTGCATCTCCTTACCACGGGGGTGCCAGGCCAAGTGAAGCAGAGTGTGTTCCCCCTAAGTGGGTGTGCGCTTCTGTCACAGGACGCAGCTGCCATAGTTGAATGACTGGGGCTACGGTTGTCACAGGTCCCTATTCCACAGGACCCACTGAGGGGAGGGCAGCTAGGTGTGCCTGGGGACGAGTGGAGGAAAGAAGTGACCAGGTCTCCTGGCAGCCTGGCCCTGCCCCCACCCTGCCACTGCCTCTCCCTGGAGGTGCCTCTGCACTGATGATGGCACCACCTACTTGAGGCCTCCGTGCTCAGGCCAGGCCACCTCAGCCTGGGTCAGGCCAACATTCGGCCTCCAGATGCCAGAAGCCCAACCTGCAAGACACAGACAGGTGTGGGCTTTAAGTGAGGACCTGGCTCAGATCCCACCAGGCCTTGAAACACAATCCAGACCACATGTCCCAGCCCTGGCACCTGACAATCTCTGTCCTTTCTGTGACACTCATCAAACTGTTGTGGCTGAGTGGAACAGCTCAGTTTTACACCCAAGTGTTACAGATGTGTTACATGTGCAGTAACTTGAAGACTCAAGAACCCAAAAGTCACTCAAAAGGATAGAGAAAAACTTTTTATTCGCCAACTGGCTCAGAGGAGTTGAGCCTTGAGTTACAGTGAGAGTCCCTTTGGGTACAGTAGGGGAAAGGAAGCTGGGAAGAACCTTTTAGGGTGGAGACACAACTAGAAGTCCAGAGAAACATCAGGTACTAAGAGTTACACTGTTTGAACAGAACACTTGATACATTGAGTAGGTACATTTGCAGCATGAACAGTGGCAGAGCTGGAACAGTGTGGAGCTCAAAGAGCTATATTTCTGGGACAGAGCATAGTATGAAAAAACAAACATGGAGGCAAGGCACAGGCCTGTCCTGTTGTGCATTATTGCTACGTCATTTCTACATCAAAACGGCCAAGCCCCTCTCGGTGACAGCAGCTCCATGAAGGCTCGGGGTGGCACCATTCTCACTCCAGATGGCTGCTCTGCCACCTGGTGACTGGGCTGGGCCAGAAGTATGGCTTGTTGGGGAAAATACTCTTCTCCAGCAGTGTAAGCTCAATTCTTTTTAACTCCACAGCAAAGCTCACCCAGGTTTCAGGATTCACAAACTTCACAGAGGTTCCGGACAGTGGAATGGAATTCCCCAAGCAAGAACTCACACTGGCTGTCCCCAGCCTTCCTTGGCCACATATCCAGAGCCACCACTGTCCTGCTGCCCCCAGGTCCAGACCTGACCACACTGCTGCACTGTACAACTGTCCCACCAACAGAGTCTCTTTTCCTGTCCCCTACCCTCAGTCCTGAGAGCTTCTCCTTATCTCTGCTTAAACCAGAATAAGGAAAAACTACCAAAAAACTTCTCCCACAGCCCTGCTCCTTTTCTTCAGTCAAACTGTCATTGTATTGGCCCAGAGCTCCTGCCTCCATGACATCTCACAGGCTCTGGACACTTTACCTGAATAGGAGTTAGTTCCCACACAGGACTCAAGTCAGCAGGCAGTCTGTGGGCCACCTCCCAGCTCCCATGTGTACTGGCTGCTTCAACACCGTTTACAGAGATACCTCTGCTGGCTCTTCTCTCCACCTCTGCCTATGCCCCACAGGGAGTCTCCAGGGCCACCCCCAAAAGTCACCACATCTTAGGAACTCCTAAAAGGGTCAACTTCCAGAACCACCCCTGAGAATCACTACCTAAGGCCACCTCCCAAGAACACCTCTCAGAGCCACTTAAAATACAATGGACTTCCTCAGAAAGCGTGAAATGCAGCCCACTCCCTCCTAAAGAGAATCACAGCCACTCCCTACTAAGCTCCTGAGTTTTGAGGAATTTAAAATGCAAAATAACTAGTTTGTTTCCCTAAAAACTCAGTTTGCTTTAAACCCTACATGTTGAAGAACTGGTTTAGAGAGTCAGTTCCAATTGGCTATTTTAAATCCACAGGGCCCCTGTGATAGGTGGCTACTAAACAACTGAATGATTCCTGTACTCTGCTTATCTCTAATTATCTCTGGATTGAAAGGCCAAGTGGCCACCTGCTCAGGACCCTCCTAGAAATCCAAGAGCTCTTCTGTTCTTTTTCTAAGAAAAACTCTCCTAAACTCAAAAAAAAAAAAAAGAATGAAAGAAAAAAAGAAAGGAGGAAGGGAGGGCGGGAGGAAGGGGAGGGGAGGGGAGAGGAGACAAAAGAAAAGTTCTCAGGGACACCTCCCTTGGCCACCTCTGATGACCACCACCTAGAAGCACTTCTAGTTATTACCCAGCTTCAAAGACTCAAAGGTCATCATAATTTTTCCTGGCTTATTTCTTTACAATCAATTGTTTCTAATTAGATTCGATGCTTTCCCTACTGGAGGATATTTATGCAGTTCTAATTATTCTAACACAACACTGAATAAATATCTCTGTCCAAATGGTAATATTTTACCTCATCCTTGATTCTTTCGCTGGTAGAGGGCTTAACAAGTTTCTGTACAGCATAATTCAACCAGGCAGTAAAAGTGCTGAGCAACCCTCCCCTCCCCTGTGTCCCACGGGGCTGTTTAGCACCGAGGCTGTGCAAAGCCCGATTGCTCTGTCCCTCGGGGCCAAGCCTCCAACCCATCAATACTGCTGCGGGTTGCAGCGATTCTCCCCATGGGAACCAGACCATTTCAACCCCAAGTATATGCTAAACAAAAATCAGTCTCACATGCCAAAATCATGTGAGACAAAAAAAAAGAAAAAGAAACATGTTTTTATTATATAAATAAAAGCACATTCTAAGAGGTGTCAATCCTGTCATCTCTAACACCTGGGTCCCATTTCCGATATTGGCTAAAATTTGAACCATCAACTTTGTTAATGGGAAAACTCTCTATGCTCCCTTCACCCTGTGGAAGCGGGTGGCTCTCCATGGCTCTTAAAGAATGTCTTTTAATGCCCAGTAAAATGCACTGATAAATAGTGGATCTGAAGCAATGGAGCATTTTGAAAACATGTGAGGACCCAAAGCTCATTGAGCCCCTCTTTCCCTCTTGTATGGTCTTTCATTTCTGGGACAAAGCACATGACCTGCAAAGCTTAAAGGAAGAGAGGCTCACGGTTTCAGAGGCCTCAATCTGTGTTCTGCTGGTTCCCACTCTGGCGGAAGGTCACGCCAGAGGCACGCTGCCCAACCTGTGGGGTCCAGGAAGCAGAGAGGGGAAGGAAAGCTGAGAGGGAGGGGCAACGACCCCATACAGCTCCCAAGGTCATGACCCCATGACCCGCTTCCTACAACCAGGCCCCACCTTCTCTAATGGCCCACTGGTAATGGATCCCATCTCCACCCCGACACATGCCACTCTGCCCCCATCATAGCAGGCTGCCCACACTTTTCTAGAGTTCTGTATGCATGGAATGATATAGCAGGTGCCCTATTCTGGCTGGCTTCTCTCACTCAGTGTGATTCTTTTAAAATTCATCCACAATGCTGCATGTGCCAACACTCATATTCCTTTTATCTACCCTATAGTGTTCCACTGGGTCAATGTACTTCACTTTATATTCTACCCTTTCACCCATCCATGGGTATCTGGGTGCTTTCCTGTTTCCAGATCTTATAGATAAGCCTGCTATGTGTACCTGTGGCCATAGAAAATGTCTGGTCTGCTTTCTTTTCTCTAGGTAGATGTGCAGCAGCAAATGGCTGAGATGTGTAGCAGGTTCACACAGACCTTGCAGAAAATGCCAGAAAGTCTTCTGTAGTAGCCCCTTTTCATGCCTGCCATGTGTGCAAGAGTTCCAGGTGACCCACAATCCTGCCCACACCTGTCTTCCCCATGCATTATAAGAGCACATATTGTAAAATGCAGGTAATGATGCCTCATTGTGGTTTTCATTCATGCTTCCCTGGTGCTCAGTGATCTTGAGCATCTTTTTTATTTGCTTCTTTGCCACCCATCCATCCACTTTGGAAAAAATTCTGTTCAGATCTTGCACCTTTTTTCTATTGGAGTGTTTGCTTTCTTATTAAGTTTGGAGATTTTTTTTTTCCCCTATGGTCTCTTGAGATGCAAGGCCACCGGAAGATATGTGATTTGTAATTATTCTCTCCCAGTGTGTAGAGCACCTTTGCATCAGGAAGGGAAGGATCTGGCCTCTTATTTACACACCCAACATCCATGGCAACCCAGCGGCCCTGCCCCTCAATGAAATAGGCCTGCAAACTGTTACATAATCAGCACTCCCCGCCATTGCTGGGGTTTTGGTCTAGGAGGGCTATGTACTGACCCCTTGTGCTACAGCACAGGGCCTGCTAAAGTACAGACTTGCTTTGGTGTTCCTGTATCAAAACTGAAACAAACGGCATCTGTAGAAGGGCAGAAGTTCCTCCTTCTAAGGAAGTCTAGTTTACTTAATGTTTTGGGGTGAATGTGTTGTACCCAAGTCGTGAAATCCCCAAGACCACCAAGGAGTCGAGTCTGATGTAATTACATGAGGAGTTTATTGCAGGCTTTAGCCTGGCAAACTCAAGCCTGGACCTCCAGTGGCACCATCACAGTGGCTTTCAACTGCAGGCCCCGACCCATTTTCAAGACATGCTTATATAGGACTGAGGATTGATACTATTTTTAACTTTTCATTACTAAGGATTATTACTGGCACACTTGGGGCACCCATGAGGGGAATTATTGCATACCCATGAGGGAAATTATCTCATACCCATGAGGAGCTCAGTGAGTGGCACTCTATTTCTATTCTTAAGGAACACTTTATAAACTTACACAATTAGGCAAACTCTCCATACTCAGCAAAACATATAATATCTCTAACTAAGCAACTATTAGGGAGGAGATAAGTTGATTCTTGGGTCAGAAGAACAGGAACAGAAAAACAGGGAGGAGGCTGTTATAGCCCTTTGCCCAGAAAACTTAGTCTTTATATTCTTAGCAAAGGTCAAAGGGAGAGACCACCTTGATCAGAAAAGTTGGCTCTCACAAATGCACTATTTTGTTTCCTTCTATCTGTGATCCTGTGTTGGATATCACATCTAGGAAGTCTTCACTTAACCCAAGGTCATAAAGACTCCCTCCTGTTTTCCTCTAGTTTTATATTTTTAGGTTTTCTACTTAAGTTAATGATCTCTTTTGAGTTAATTCTTGCATGGTGTACAAGGAATGGAGCAATGTGTTGGCGTTTGCTTCAGCACCATGGGTACTGTTTCCCTGAAATTCCTCGAAGCACTGTTTGAACAACTAGTGTCAACTTTAGCATGGATCGGTTTCTAGACTCTGATCTATCCTATTGATCGATTTAAAACTTTATGCCAGTAATACAGTCAGGATTGCTACAGATTTATAATAAATCCTGAAATTGGATAGTCAGTCTCCCAAAGTTTTAGTTCTTCTTTTGTCATAGCAAAGTGCCACAGCTCAGTGTTACAAGCTATCCAGAGGCCTCTGGAGGTGAAGAAGCTGAGGGCCCTTGTGGGGATGGGGGGATCCTCTGATTATGCTGGCCCAGAGGACTGGAGGAGTTTGGACTCTGAGCCCCAAACAGCAATGGAGGCAACCTTATACCGAGATCTATGGGGTAAGGGCTAGGTTTGGGAGCCGGGCATGCGCATTTACAGAAGTGGAGGGGAGGAGTTAACAGAACAACTTTAATCATTGGTAGGGACATCCTGCAGCTTGTACAGTTACATTTGTAGTTATTACAGGTGAACAGTTACAGCACCTGAACTGTTACATTTGCAGCGCAGATAGCTTTAACAAAACATCTTATGATTCCCAATAAAAATCACCAGGGGTCCTGGGAGCAGACAAAGGCCTGCCATGTTGTACATTATTTCCTCATTTCAAAGTTACTTTGCTGAGGAGCCACCGGCAAGGGATCAATGAGGAAGCTCTATAAATCCTAGCTGGAAAGAAGTAGAGATTACAGACATCCTGCCAAAATTATTTCTTCAGAATCCAGACTGGTCCAACCCTATGGCCTCAAGACTCTGCTTGAGGGAGTTAGCAGAGCTATTCTCAAAACCAATCCATCAAACATCACCCAGTTTGCAGCAGTTTATTTTAAAGAGCTTACAGTGTTTAAGAGAAGGGAATACTTCTCTGGATATAAAAGATCCGGTTAAACAATCCCATCAGGTGAAAGTAGAGAAATGGTCAGAAGGAGCGACAATGGAGAAGAAAGTGGAAAGCATAAAAGAATCCGAAGGGACGTCTGTGGTCTTCCAAGAACTTACACAGATGGAAAAATGCACAGAAACAGAGGAGAACAGTGTTGCTGGACTGCAATTCATTAACAAAACCACCCAGTTTCCGTTAGACTGTGCCAAGTACCTGCAGCCTGAAGAGACACCTGAAGCAGTTCCTGGTCCTCCTTCCAAACCAGCCACCCCCAAGGCTACCACCCCACCCCAATTGCCATGTCCAGCACCTGTCTCAGCAGAGTTCACTTATGTCCCCGCCGACCCAGCTCAGTTTGCCGCTCACATGCTAGCAAGCGAAGCAGAACAACCACCACCATATTCTAACAACATGTGGACTCTTTATTGTCTAACTGATAAGAATCAACAAAGCCGCCCATCACCGCCACCTGAACCTGGGCCTTTCCCCCAAGCAACCCTCTATTTATCTAATTCTAAGGATCCACAGTTTCTGCAGAATTCACCAAAAATTACTTCTACTTACGTGATGATGGAGGACAGCAAGAAGACTAGTCCCCCACCTTTTATTTTAGTGGGCTCAAATGTTCAGGAAACACAGGATTTGAAACCTCTTCCTGGACATACTGTTGTCTCACAGTCACATGGTATAAAGAGATAGCTACCATACAAGTACCCATTGCTGTGGCTACAGACCAGAAACTCCAGAAATACACCCAGAGTCCCCAGAATGCTAGTCCTCCTACAAGTGGACACGATGGCCCCAGGCCACAAAGCCCAGTTTTTCTTTCTGTTGCTTTCCCAGTAGAAGATGTAGCTAAAAAAGGTTCAGGATCTGGGGACAAACATATTCCTTTTGGAAGTTACGGTATTGCTGGAGAGATTACCGTGACCAGTGCCCATGTTCACAGAGCAGAAACTTAAATCTGGTAGGTAAATTTTCCTAGCATAATACAGGGGTCTTAAACTACTTGAGTTCTCAGTATTTTGATGTGTCAACCTAGAGACACTGAATTGAAGAATAATGGGCTGCACATTTATTAGTGACTAGTAGGCAGTTGGAGACAACCCATCAAATGAAGCATGCCTCAATATGTAAAGCAAGCAACCCTGTCACCTTCGGAATATGTGGTAGATTCTGAGAGACGGATTTTTAAAAGGAGGACAAGATAATATAGATGGCATGGTTAAGAGGAGCACCCGGAGAGCAAGGTAAGAGCCGATACTACAGGGGTTAATACACGGCACATTCAGTAGATATGCTGGGGAGATCCTGGAATTTTTCAGTACTTAATGATGACAGTAGGGTGAGCAGAACATGGAACCTACGCACACACTGCTGGCCTTTTCTATCCATGTGGCTATCTGGGCATGAACTGCTAGGATGCTTTGGTGTAAAAGCACAGGTAACTAAGAATTTAGAACAAGTTGAGGATGACCCTTTCATTTCTGAAATTTACATTACTCCTAACAGATGCTGAAAATCATTCAAGGTGGAATCAGCCACCAAGCATAATCTATCAATAAACTTCCTGCAAGCATTAAAAAAAAAAAGTTACTTTGCTGTTCAAAGGGCTTTGCATTTCCAGATGTATGCCAGGTGCGACATCAATTTTCACCATAAAATACTTGTGGCATTTCAATTGGAATTACACCAAAGCTATTTACTGAGAGCTGGCATTGTAGCAACACTGAGCCTTTGAGGCAGGGACAAGGTATCTCTCTGTCCCTCTGGGTCTGTTTCTCCTGCAGAGTTTCATAATTCTGACTGCTTAGGCATTCATGTATTAAAGTTATCCTTAGCTACTTCATGTCTTTACTGTAAGTGCGATTGCAGCTCTATACTTCCATTTCTTGATATTGTTTGCTAGTTTATAGAATTATAATATATTTTGAATATTGATCCTGTACCCTATAATTTGCTAAACTGATTCATTCTAGCAGTTGCTCTTGTGGATTCCATTGCATTTTCTTCCCTGAAAATAAAATAGCTTGTTTCTTCCTTGATGGATTTTTTTCATGTGTAAATAATATAAAAAAATAATATGAGTAAATAGAACTTTTTTTCTTGCCTACAGCAGTGGCTGGAATTCTGGCACAACACTTGAGAAGCAACACTGAGGGATGTGCTGGGTCTCAGTCCCAAGCTCAGGACGGCAGCCGTCTCTCCACATCACGGTGGCATTAGCTGCAGTTTCCACCCCCTGCACCCTTGCTGCGTGGGGGACGTCTTCTATTTCTACTTTGCTGGAAGCTTTATTTTGTTTTAATCAGGGATGGAAGTGGATTTCTTCAAATGCTTATACCACACCTGCCAAGATGATGTTTTTCTTTACTCTGCGAGAAGCCCTCATTGTAGGTAACCTGGCAGACACCAACCAAACCAAGTCCTCAAAACAGACCTTGGTACGGGGGGACTGGTAGCCCCTGACATGAGGCAAAGACAATTCAGCCCCTGCCTGTAACCTGAGAGTAAGCACCAAGGAGAATTGAGGCCCCTCATAGAGTGTCCTGCAGAACAACTGGCCAAGGGTTTGACAACAGTGATGGAACCATACAGCCTTCCTGGGCTCCATAGGGATCTGTGTTCTAGAGACAAGAGTATCCTGGCCATGCACACTGAAGTCCATGGTACAGGAGGGAGAGCCTGGCACTTACTCTGTTCATATTACAAAACGCAAAGTTTTTTGTTCTTTAACTCCAACTCTTCTGCAAGTGTGGGATTATTTGAAAAATAAATGCAGTTTTGGAAAGTTAATTTCACTCTATTCCCCCCAAAAACTGAGTTTCTGGGTTCTTTTCTCTTCGATTGTAAAAATAGCAGACAGAGAAAGTAGAATGTCCCCATCGAGACCCTCACCAGGGTCCCTCTGTTGCAAGTGCTCTGGTCCATTGGTCCATATGTTCAGCTCTAAGGCATGGCCCCATTTTAAACAACTCATAGCTTTATTTTCTGAATCCTCTAGCAGCCTTTGTTCAGAAGAGTTCACAGTAGCAGTTCCCCCTTTCCAGGGAGGGGTGGCTGCTGCCAAAGCGCCCCAGTCTGGCTGTGAGCACCCTCAGAGGGTTGCTCCAACACCAACCAACTGTAGAGACATTGGGGGCAACAGTGGCTATGTTCACTCTGACTAAAGTCCCCAGGCAGCTGTGAAAGTTTCAGGACCTAGTCAGCTAGCTCCAAGGCAGGGTGGCCTGACAGAGGACATCAAAGAGGAGAAAGAGCTCACAGAGTAGCAAGCAGGATGCCATGTGTCTTCCTGCTTCTTTTCCTCTTTATTTCATCCAGATGGCAAAACTTTTGGTTGGTGCCACCCACGTCCACATCCAGAGCGGGTCTTCCCTCTTCAATAAGTCCATCGTACACACCCAGGACTATGCTAATCAGTGGACTGATTCAGTATCACCATGATCCAGTACCACACACCCATGATCCAGTCCCTCCTAAAAGCCCCACTTATGAGCTCATGAGGTTGGGGGGGCATCTAGATAAAAGCCATAATGGATGTCAAAGTGATTCCTCTGAAATGACACATGCACTGAGAACATTTGCAGTATGAATATTAAAAAAAATCTGTGCTGCCCTGAATGAGCCCTCGTGAAGCTTGGTCTGGCAGTGATGTGAGTTTTGTGTAATTTCTCATGATACAACTTTAAAAGTGTGTGATATGATATCTAATATAGCCCAGCCTTATACACAAAGATTGAAATCACTGAAATGCAGCATGAAAAGCTCTGCAGAGAACTTTACACTATCAGAAACCGTAGGATCTTCAGTAGTGCTGGGCTTGTGCTCCAGTGGGGGTTTGTAGTTCATGTGCAGAAGTCTCACTGGCCTATGCCAGGAGCAGCCTGGGTCCCCAAGCTGGGATGGCAGGAACCTTTCAGGAAAGACAGCCCCCTAGAAGGTGGGAAGCCCACAAATGCAGGCAGGGCCTTCTACATAAGCAGCTACTATGTCAGCTGCATTAGGCCATTGTACCTGGTGGGTTTTCAACTCCTAAGCATACTACCCAACCCAAAACATGTGCTCAGTAACTCACTGACTGACAGAAGCACGCTAATTAGCAAGTCTAATGATTTTTTCCTCTCTCTAATAACAGTAGACTTGGTGGCTGGACAGTAAGGAGAGCTGGATGAATTCAGGACCAGCCATCATCATCTTCATCCCTTGCTTATGCCTCGCCATAATTAACCTACCCCTGCCTCGATTATCATGAAAGAAAACAAATCAGCTGCGGAAGCAAGGCCGGCAAGCAAGACCACAAGAAGTTATGGGGCCAGAATTGCTGCTGATTAAGCTGCAGCATCACAGCTTGTGTTTTGAGAAGCTGGTATCACATCTTTGGTGCTGACCGCAGAGGACTGTCCACTGCCCGGTCCTCTTCTTGGGTCCTGGACCTGTCCTGAAGATATAGATGATGGGCTCTGGGGAGGAGCAGGTGCTGGAAGGCAGCACTGCAACCAGGCTGGATGTCCTGAGAAGGTGTCATTCGCCAGAGAAGATGCCCAGAGGAGGGAGGCAGGGAGGACCAGCGGGTCGCCTCTTGCTGAAGACTGTGCTCCCAGGTACTCTGCTTTGTCTCATGCTGCCATGTCTAACCGGAAAGCTGGTCCGGTCTACCCTCACCCCACAGCAGAGGAAGGGCAAGCTGGGGATCGCAGGGCTGGTCATGTGCACCCAGGGGCACCAGAACCGAGCCCTAAGGGAGGGATGGAGGGAAAAACTCAGAGAGAGGCCAGGGCAAGGAAAGCTGGTTTTCTCCTTTGACACTGGTCATGGTGCAGGGACGAGGCTGATTTGACACGAAGTCACGAGAACGTTCACGGTTTGGAGTACCCAAGGAGTGCCAGGAGTTTCCACTCTAATTTCCAGGAAAAAAATGGGACTCTTCTGTTGTGTTTTGAGAAATTAATTTTCCACCTCCCAGCCTGGCCAAAGGCCCAGCGATCCCCCGCATGCACACCAGGGGGCGCCCAGCCCCGCCAAATGGAAGCTGACTGCAGAGACCAGCTCAGACAACCCAAGTGGTCCGCGTCCCTGCAACGGATTTCCGGCTGAGCTCGGAAACGTGGAAGGTTTCTGTGCGCTCTGGCTTGGGGACCCAGTCTGCACGGGGTGGCGAAGTTCTAAATACAGCGTCCTGCCGTCTGTACCAGATCCCACGCAAGCTGCACAAATCAGCCAGGAGTTTCTCCTAGGTGTGGGCTCCAGGATGCCCACGTCCCTTGTGAAGGAGGGCAGGATGCACCCACAGGGGGCGATTGAGAGCAGCATCAGAGCACAGGCTCCCCTAGTACACGACAAGCCACTGGGGGACACCATCACCCCAAGTTAGTCCTTGCTTCTTTGCATCAACTCAGGCTATTTATTCACACCCGATATTTCCAGTCAAGTAACAAAGGTACAATTTTTAATCGCCAGCACTAGAACGTTTAAAAAACCACAGAATGCTGTGGGGACAAGAGGCAGGCATGTTGCCCACTCAGATACTTGCTGGCTGTAACGTCCTGGGGCTTCTGGCTGCATCTGCAAAGCTGCTGAAGATGGCCCACAACAGCTGCAGAAATACTGATATCCTTTCACCTGTCCAGTCCACAAGAAGAATCTCACCTAAGGGGGGAATAAAATATGTGAAAAAATCATCATGTATAAGGATATCCTTCAAAGTGCCATTTCGTACAGTAATAGTTCAAAAAGTCTTTGGAAGTCTCCAAAGGGGTGCCACTCTAATTGAGTTCTCCACCCAGGGACGCCTGTGGAGGTCCCTAGGTTTCATGTAAATATATTCATAGTTTATTTTATGATTGAAATAAGTAGAACTTATTTCTAAATGTGTTAGATCATGTTACGAGAATACTGCATGTTATTCTACTGAGACTGGCTTTACACCTCTAATTTATCTCAGGAGAGAGCTCACTGGTGG